GTAACCTATTGAGTTAATAGCCAACAAACATTGGCAAATCAAGAGGATCAGCCGGCCTCCGCCGCCTGGTACCTCTACTACTCAATCTAGATTGTGACGAAGACTAAGTAACTCTTATGTTAACTTAATAGTCACTCAAACTTAGTATGGAGCCTAAAAGGTATGAGTCGTCCGCCTGTTTTTTAACAAACACGGGCTCTCAACCACTACTCTTGCTAGGTTAACAAACTACGAGTTAAAAGCCAACATTGGCAATAAAGGGAAACAACCGGTACCCGCCGCTTGTTATCCTACTTAATTCCTTGGCGACTAGGTAATACTATTTACTTGGTCAGACCGATTGAATAAATGGCCGACTGATCGCCCAGCTTGGAAACAGACAACCAGTCGTCCAGGGGCATAGGCGGACCATCCGTACCTGTCTACAATCGGCCATGCAAAACAGTCGATATAGTGTACAATGCAATATCAAATATTCAACACTTAGACAAATTTCAAGCAAAAAATGATTTCATTAATGAAGATAAAAATATTCAGAACCCCGGCCCCCTGGCCGGGTAAATACAAAGCAAACGGCACGCAGGCCGTGGAAAGAATACATTAAGCTTAAGAAGGGGGCAGTTCGGTATTAGCAGCTGCCGCCTGGTCAGCACTCTTCTTGCTAGACTCGGCTTCAGCTGCATCCTTTTTTGATGCCTTACCCCCAAGTGGCACAAGCGCCACAACCGGCTCATCCTCAACCAAGGCTTCCTCCAACGCCTCGTCCTCAGCAGCCGCCAGGATCTCTTGATTATATATTTCGGAACACTGGCGGTACGTTTTTTCCCACGAGGCAAAGTCGGCACTGGGGAAGAGGCGGCTCCAGGTCATGCGCTGGATCTGGGAAGAGTCTTCAATCATCTCTCGGACGAGCTCTCTCTTCTCTTGCTCAGCCTTCTCCGAGAGCTCTCTCTTCTCTTGATCAGCCTTCTCCGAGAGCTCTTTGGTTAGACTCTTCTCCTGGGTCACCAGGCGTTCTTTTACGTTAGCCAAGGATTTTTCCATGGTATCGTAGGAGAGTATCTTTTGGCGGAGAGGTTTAAGCTCGGCCTTGAGGTTGGAGACGGTCGCCTCCAGCTCGCTGTTCCTCTTCTGGGCCGCCTCTAACTGAGCCCGGATAGCGGCGGCAGCCTGCGCCTGATAATAAAGAATATCAATTGTCAGAACTTCATTTTGGGCAATTTGAAACATTGCCTTATCACAGTTAGAGGCGGCCATAGCTTTTGCAGCCTTTACCTCTTTGTTTTTTCCGATCAAGCGGCTTGCGAAGGCCGTTCACTCGGAGCAGGGCCTAAGTAAAAAGGGAACAAACGTCAGTTTCCAAACAAGATAACAGGCGTCCTGGAACTCAAATACAAAAAATGCTAAGTATACCTCAGCAAGGACCCCTGCAATCCCATCAAGGTCAAGGGTGCCGACACCCCTGACCGCCTCCCTTTCAGATGGAGGAACTGCTTTGATCATGGACTTGGCTACCTCTACCAAGTCAGGTTCCTGAGGGCCGGCTGCATCAAGCGTAAAAAAGCAAGTTAGACCTAGTCAAGAAGAAAACAAGTGAGTTTTTTCAAGTAATTGTCCATACTTCTAGGCGGCCCCGCCGGAGTTTTAGAAGAAGTGGCCGGCTGCTTTTCAGCCGCCACTGTTTTCCTGGAAGACCCAGGAGAGCTTGCAACAGTCGTCCTCCGGCCTTGGGGTCCGGCTGTTGCGAGGAAGAAGCTCTTGGAGTGCCCGACTGAAAAAAAAAAAAAAAAAAAAAAAAAAAAAAAAAGAGTTAGTATATGCATAAGCCAACTCCTAAAAGAGGAAGAGTTTCGAGGCCTACCAAGGGTGCCCCCTTGTTGGGGGAGTCGGTACAAGACTGTTGCATGAGAGAGGCCCGCAACATGGCCGCCGCAGTCTTGGATGCTGTTATTTTACTCATGGCGTCAGCTGCAAAAAATAGACAGCAAAGTTAGTAAAAATCTCAAGTAAACAAGGCGTGAAAAACAGAGTATTTGTCAGGCCGGCTACCTCTAGAGCACCGACTGCTGAGGCCACAGGCGGCCAAAAAGTACTCGTCATAGAGCCACTTAAAGCTCGGGACGCAGTTCAGGGGTACTTGCTCTCGTACCCCTGAAGTAGAGTTCACCCTAGTCTCTACTTTGAAGAGTCCTTTGTCTAGGATCTCTTTTTTAGCCTTTGGGGGAACAGGCGGCATGCTGCGGCCGCCTGCGAGAAGAGGCGGATCCCTATTCCACTTGTTAAAGCGTTTGTTCAGCTCCGTGTCTGAACCCTCGATAATAAGGAAGGTGTTCCGCCAATCCTTCCATTTGTTCGCCTTACCTCTCGTCATGAGGTAGCCCCTGTGGCTTGTTAATTGATACCAGCCGGTACCGCCCGACTTAGGGGTCCGGCTGAGATAGTTCATGTGGGCGAAAGCCTCGAAGCTTGGCTCCACCCCGTACATTTCGCACCCGGCCACATAGCCGAGTACGTTTACCCAAGAGTTGGGGGCTAACTGCCATAACCCCAAATCATACCCATCTAAAATCCGCTGAACAGCCGGATGTAATAGGAAGCGCAGTCCAGCTTTGATTGCCGCCTCATAGCAGCCAAAGCAGCCGCTATCATAGCTGGTACCAGCCGGCCAGACGACAGTGTCTTCTGGATCCGGCACGAACAGTAAAAATCCGGGGCCCATTCTGTGGTTAGCTATAAAGCTCTCCACTTTGTCTTTCATGGCCGCGATCCGGCCCCGGGGTACCGTGCAGTAGTAGGGGGTGTTTTCCTCTCTGTAAGAGGCGGACGGCTCCGCCCAATGGCTCCCCTTCTCAACTGCATGAGAAAGCCTCGCCTCTTGTAGGCGGCTGTTTCTTTCTTCTGAGCCTGGAGAAGCGTGGCCAGAAGAGCTGGACTCGGACTCGTCCTCTGACGAGTCCGAAGAGGACGACTCCTCCCTCTCCTAGAGGGGCCCGCCTCCTCTCCCTCAGAAGGAGCAGGAGAAAAGTTGGACATATCAACGGTAAAATGGGAAGGGACCACCTTGCCCCCTCCCTCAGAACTGTCGGCTTGGCAGCCGCCTTGTTTCCTTTCTACATCTGGCGCTTGGTCAGATGTTTCACTAATGGGCACCCTTTGGGAGGAGCCGTCCGAGTTTGAGATCCTAGCAGTCTTCTTTGTTCTGGCCATCACGTTCTGCATAGACACAGATACAGTCGGACTTTGTATAAAGGGCAAAGATGGGTCCAGAAAAGGGCAGGCGGCACTCCTAGTCCTAGATTCAGCCGTCCCCGGTGACCGGCTGATCACTAACTTAGGTCGTGTCGTGTGCTTCCATGGTGCCATTTCAAAAAATAATAGTAAGAAAAAAAATTAAGAATAAGAGAACCGACGGTTACCTGAACGAGTGACGACTGATGAAATTCTGAAATCCCTTGCAAACGGCTTGTCAGAGCAGGCGGTAGGCAACAAAAGTGTCAGAGCAAGTTCAGGGGTCCGAATGTTCTCGCGAAGTTCTCAAATGTGAAAAATGACCGAAGTCAGCACTTATATAGGCAAAGTGAGAAGGCGAAGGGTCGCTTCCAAATTCAAAATTTGGGCGGGAAAATCTCTCGGCCATTTGCAAGGTGACACCTGCAGCAGGCCGTCGCCTGTCACCATGCGACACCTGTCACAGGCGACACGTGACCAGTCACGTGCCACCTGTGAGGGGCAAATGATTAGGGGATTTTTATCCACCAATCACCGTCTGACAAATGGACCAACCAGGTTCCGCCACGTGTCTTTCACGTAGGCCAATAGGAGCCTCCCACGTGTCAATTACAGATTCGTCCTCTGCGGACCAATTGAGACACGCCACGTGTCCACCCATGCCAAATGGGAAAACCGGCCACCAAGGCCCAATCCTGTTTAGAGGCCCGGTCAGCCCTAGGTTTACCCTAAACCTAGAGAGTGGCACGCTTCTCAAGACTATAAATACTCCTCTTAATCCTCATTAAGAGGGGGAGAACTCTAATAACACACGGATTATACATTAAACACTCTCACCTAGAGAGACTAAACCACTTTAATTTCCGTATTAATTACTCCTTAATCAGGTACTAACTTGACCGTTGGAGGCGGAGCTCTCAGGAGTCTCCGTTATTTTGCAGGTACAGGCGGCCGGTTCCAGTCTCGGTGTTGTAACTCTCCCGCAGGACATCAGAAAACCCCGAAACAGTTTTCATCATTTTAATCTGCATGCAATTCGAAACAAAAATGAATCATGCTTTCTTGATTTATACTTGATGGTTTTACACTGCCTGATATATATACTTTCAAATCAACTCTTGTTATTATAATAACAACAACAAATGATTTCTATACATGCAACATTTAGAAATAAAAAAACCAATCCTCATTTGAACCACATCAATTTCTTAATTTTTACATAAGCTATAATAGCTACAGATCATACAATAATTCATTAACTTTTAATCAATTTAAAGTTACTTTTAGCCAATTTCTATCTACTTGTAAAAATAAACCACTCAAAACTACTCAAAGGAAACTACTCTAAATTCATGATTCTATTTTGTTGACTTTTAATTATTTTATATCAACTTTTATTTGATTTCTTTTAACTATTAGCAACAATACTCAAAAATTAACTAAAATTACTTGAAATTAGTAGCATTAGAACCAAATTTACTCAAATTTTTACCTATATTCTTTTAAAAAAATCTGATATAAATTTATACCGAAATTCATAAAAAAAATCTAAATTTATGGCAAAATTCGTAAAAAAAAAATAAATAAAAAAAAAAAAAACCTTTTATTCAACTCCGAATTATCTTCTAATCAATTTTAAAATAAATTACAACAAATTTAACCAGAAATTAAAAGTAAATCAAACGAAATTGAAACAAAAACAAACAAAATTCCGAAAATACCTGACTAACAAGCTAATCGAACTTCAAAACTTCAAAATTGAACTTTGAACTACTCCGATTCAACTTTTGCTACTTCAAATTCAACATATTCAAGCAAAAAACACAAAAATAAGTAAGAGATTATAACAAAATTAGATGAAAGATTACGAACTTCAAAGTTTCGAAGAAATACCTAATTTTCGACAATTTTTGTTTCGAAACTGAAGAATGTAGATAATAGACCATGAAATTGTGCTTATATAGAAAATTAAGCAGTTGAAATTGGCGATTATGGCGGTTTTTCGAAGTTTTGGAGCGGTTTTTCGAAGGTTTTTGAGCAGTTGAAAATGGCGGAGGAGAGAGAAAGAAGAGATGGTACTGTTTATAGGTATAATATTCATGCTAAGTTGATTGAACCTAGTTTTTCGTTAGGGAAGGAGTGTTTTGAGCAGAGTGTGGTGGATTGTGTTTTTTGGGGGAATGGGGTTGTGTGTATGAATGAAGGGTTCCAATTCTTTAGTGTACCGGATTTTTCGAGTTTCGATTCGGATAAGGGTGTGGTTAAGATGGCTGATCTTGGACTCAAGGATCCACCATTGTGTATGGCAGTGATCAAGCCGAAATATACCATGTCTGGGAATGTGGAGGTGTTGCTTGGTGTTGGTGATCATGTATTGTTGGTTGATGAAGATGGGGTGCAACAGTTGGGTGTTGGAGTTGGCCCGCTTCAGAAGATGGTGGTTTCGAGAGATGGGAAGTATTTGGCTTCCTTTAATCATGATGGGAGGCTCTTGGTTATTACCTCTAACTTTGCTAGCATCATTTTCGAGTATAGTTGCGAGGTTAGTTTTATTGTTTTTGTAAAATTCGAACTTTCAGTATGTTTTTTTAAGTTTTATCTATCTGCAGACTTTTTATTGTTTCTGATGACTTAGTTCTCTTTTATTTGACATAAAATTACTCGACGTAAGTTGTTTTGTTGGCAAAAACGTTGGAAGATAAGACTTCTTTGGAAGTTCTAGCAAAATGGGTGAACTTGCTTGGTTGACGAAAGCGTTTGAAATTGTACTTTTCTGGAAGTTATAGTAAAACTGGTGAAGTTGCTTAACTACTTGAAACAAAACAACCTTATGCATTTTTCTTGGAAAAAAAAAAATGTAAATTCCTAAGTAGTGTAACTAACTACCTTTGTGCAACAAAATAACCATTTAGTAGATTTGTGGAAATGATGCTTTAGGACTGAGGTCTTTCTATTGTTAGATTATGGAGAATATAGTGTGTTGTAGTATTCGTGAGGTTGCTGAGAATATAGTGAAGGGTGTTAGGAGAGTGTAAGCTGGCAAGCTGAATACAATTTTACAACCATTTTTTTGATTTATGATTGCTGATGTATAGTAATATATTTGCTGGTAAGGGCAGCCACCTTTACTTGTGTGGACAAGCTTGGCTTCCAAGATATATACTACGTCTTAAGCTGTAAGTTGATTGTTTCACATTATTTTTTTGGATTGTACATCTTGTACACTCTGTATCTAAATAATTCTCGGGAAGCGGCATGAAGTCTTTAGCTTTAAGCCAACGCGTACGCGCACACAACTAGAATATGATTTTTGTTAGAAGTTGGAAAGAGCTTCAAGTTGAGATCACTATAACTAGAGGTCTAAAATAAGAACCTGATAAAACCTAGAACATTGAATATTTATCTTGTGCACACAGTGCTCCATAAATGATAGTTCAACTTAAACTTTTCTCCCCATATCCCCCTTTTTTCTTGGTTTCTGTCCCTTTTCATACAGTAGAGTCGATGCAGAGATTTTTCTTATGGGTTGATGAACTACATCCTGTCTTGAACCAATGAACCTTGTTACTTAGTCTCTTGATTGATTTAATTAAGGTGTTGAATGCTTTGTTTTGGCCGTTTTAAGGAGCATAGCTTCATAAATACCTAGTTATCCAATCTAACTTCACAGAACAGGTACTAGGTGTTACTGATACTTGTTCATGCCTTATCCATCATTAAAGTAGTTAATCTGCATGAGTTCCTTAGTAAAGATCTTGTCTATGTTGTGATAATGAGACTAGCGGAGCTTGAACTTAGCTGGAAACTTTACTCAAATCAACTCTGACCAAGCTTAAGTTGAGCTTGAAATTTTTTTGGGCTGGATTTGTAACTTATGCTTGAATCTGAAGTTAAAGTGAAGCAGACAAACAGTTTTGAGATTTCAGTAAATGCTTACAACTATTTTTTGTTGCATGGCTTATGTAGAAATAAAGCTTTTATACTTGAAATAACATTTTAATATTATATGAGAAATAAATATGATACTAGAACACACTTTTTTTTTTCCTTTCTGATTTGTATTGAGTTTCTTTAAATAGTTATCCTTGCATTATGTGTTACAACTTGAAATATTTAGGATAAAAATGAGTTTAAATTAGAAAATAACACCTGCTAAAGACCCCGATTTTGTTTTTAACACCTGTTAAAAAAAAAGTTTTATTATAACACCTCCAAAAATCCCAAAATTTTGGTTTCACCACCACTTAACTTTTCCATCCAAAAAACCGTTAGTGGGCCCCACAGTGTACACGTGTCAATAATCTATTGGAGAAAAACCACGTGTCACTATACTATTGGTTTAAAAAAATTAATAAAAAAAATAAAATAAAAAAGAATTTTTTTTTAAAAAAAAAAAACCCAAATAACCCAGCCACCACCTTCACCACCGGCGTCGGTTCCCCCTGCCCACCGTCGTCACCCCAACCCGTGCTGCCGACTCCCCTTAGCCGACCGACGAAACCAACCAGCCTAGCCGACCACCGGAACAACCCATCCTCAGCCCCAATTCGATTTGGTTTGGGTGTGGGTTTGGGTTCAAGTAAGGGTGAGAGATGTAAAGCGGTATTTGGGTTTGGGTTTGGGTGTGGGTTGGGGTTTTTCGGCGACGAATCTGGGTGTGGGAAGGAAAGAACCGGTTTTTCGGCGACGGATTTGGGTAAGGAAGGCGAGTTCGGTGATGTTGCTGAGGTAGGTGGTGGTGGCGTGATGTTGCGGTGGTAGGAGACAAGAATGGGTGGTGGTTTTTGTCGGTTTCTGTCGGTTTTTAGGGTGTGGGAAGGAAAGAACGGGTGGTGGGGCTGATTTTCGTCGGTTTTGGGTGGGGACAGAGGATGCCGACGGCCTGAGTTAGGGTTTCGGTGCTGGGCAGGTGGCTCCGGCGGTGGGGTTGGGGATAGATTTTTTTTCTTTTTTTTTTTAATTTTTTTCCATTTTTTTTTATTTTCTAAACCAATAGATTATTGACATGTGTCAATTATGGCCCCCACTTAACGGTTTTTTTTGGAAGGAAAAGTTAAGTGGTGGTGAAACCAAAATTTTGGGATTTTTGGAGGTGTTATAATAATAAAAAAAAAATTTCAACAGGTGTTATTATCAAAATCGGGGTTTTTAGCAGGTGTTATTTTCTAATTTGGCCTAAAAATGAATGATACTTGTGAACACTTTGCTTTTGCGTAAAGTTTTGGGAGAATTGTTTTGTGAGTGATATCCTGTGCGAATTTATTTTGGAACTATTGGAAGTTGATGTGAAAGGAGATGGTGGAGAATTAATTTTATTGACGGAAAGAGCAGGTTGGAAATACTTCCTTCGGTTTTGGTTATTTGCAACAATGGTACCGTTTACGGATACCAATGCAAAAGTTTTTAAGCATCATTAATAAAATATAAGGGCATGTACTTAAACACTAATCCAATTAAAAAAAAAAACAAAAATTTAAACCACTACCACCACCGAACCCACCGTAAACCACCGCGAATCAGATCTGAACTCCTACAACCACCCCACCACGAACCCAGCCACGCAAACTCCACCACGAACCTAGCCACGCAGCCACCACCACAAACCCAGCCATGCAGCCACCACCACGAACCAGACCCACGCCACCCCACGAAACCAAACCCACGAACCAGACCCACCCCCACGAAACCAAACCCACGAACCAGACGCCACCCCCACGAAACCACACCCACCCACCCACCACCACGAACCAGACCCACGCCACCCCACGAACCAGACGAACCCAGCCACCACCACGAAACTAGCCACGCCACCCCCACGAAACTCACGCCACCCCTAAAACTAGATCTGAAACCCCTAACACCCCCACGAACAAGAAGATTTGTTGATCTTGATGAGATCGTCGAGGGACATGTTCAATCATTTTCCATTGCCATTGAAAGATGTGGTGAAGAAGAAGAAGAAGAAAATGTAGAGGAGAGAGAAAATTGTAGCAGGAAGAAAATTGGGGAAACCAGAGAGAGAAAGTGGGAAGATGAATGATTTTTGGTGAAAATGATTACAATAATCAGATTTATTAGGTACAAAGTTAAATTAGGTAAGTGATCTAATTAAATGTCTAAGTTGTTTAAGTAAGGGTAATATGGGCATTTTGTTGGCAAAAAGTTACTAAAAAAGGAAATAAAAAAGTTTGTTGCAAATAATAAGAAGGGCCTAATTTTAGTAAATGTTGCAAATAACTAAAACCGGAGGAAGTATATGTTATTTTGTATTTGTACTTTGTTTATTGGAAGACGGGATGAGAAAGGAGATAGTGGGGACCTGATGAGTCTATTTATATATATTTTATTCCCCGTCTCATGGTCATATTTGTGCTTATTTGAGCTATGCGGAGCTATTTTTATTACTAATATACGTTTTCTAGTGTTTTTGTAGAGTTGATGTTATTTTGTTGGAATTTGCATAATTATGATAACTCCCGCGCTTATTGAGCCACTACGAAAATATTACAGACGGAACGTATTTTATGACCAAATATTTAAAGTCCAAGACTGAGTCAAAAGAAATTGACTTCGGTGATCAAGGGCTCGATTAAATAAGAGGTTAAAGGTTTTAATATTATTATTACCACGGACCAAATCATTATCATAGAGTCATGGACCATGTGAAGCAAGGAAAGAAATTGGGCCGAGTTATTTGAGCCCAAGTCAAGAAAAGGAGAAATGACGACCCAGCAAAAGCCAAAGCTTATTTCCAGACTGACCGGGCCCGATTGGGCGCTGATTTCTCGCTGATGATTGATGTCGGTTATTATTAGGTTTATATATACCCATATAAAGAAGATTTGGGGCAGCTTTTATTTTTACGAAGTACTCGTATTAGTTAGTTTGGCTTTCTTTGGCAGATTCTTTAACATAGCTCATCATACTCGTAGATTAGTTTTTTTTTTTGGTAATTAGTAGGTAGCTTTTGTCAGACTTTAAGAGTTTGGCTTTTATAATCTTTGCTTTTCATTAGTTTTGGATTTATCTTGGATTGATTTTCATACTTTGTTTTACGGTAATTTAGTTAGCCTTGTTTCAGTTTTGTTCTTCTATTAGCTTTAATGTAATTTTTATTAGTTGATAGTTAATTCCTTTAATATTTATCTTTTATTAGTTGACTTTAGTTTTATATTGTTATGTTTTCTTTAATTGTTTTGATTAGTTTAATTTTAATTATGTGTGAGTAGTTTTATTCTAGGGTTGTGGGGATCCATGAATAATATAAAGGGATGATTTATTATTGTTGATTGTTAGTGTTTTAGATTAATTTCCTATTGATTGATATATGCTATGCAATTAGATTAGCGCTGGTTTAATTGTATGAGTTACGCAATATTTGTTTGGGGTAAAATTGCCAATGCCATGTGGCCCAATGGGGTGCTAACACGTGTCAGCCCCAGAGAAGTCCAATGGGATCCACTCTCCTGCTGACACGTGGCCTCGTAACCCTAATAGGGGAATTAATCTCCTCTACTATAAATAGAGGAAAGTCCTCATTTATTGGACATTCATGCACAATCATAAATACAAACACAAATACCGAGCAATATTAATTACAGAATCTCCCGTAATCCGAGAGACTATTTACTTTCCGCATTCTTACTCACTCAGACGTATTCTAACTTGATCGTCGGAGGCGGAACTCTAACGAACCGGAGTCTTCGTGCTTTTGCAGGTACAGGCAGTCGACTACAAGTTCTGGTGTTGTAACTCTCCTATAGGACACATAGAAAAACCCCGAAACATTGGCGCCGTCTATGGGGAGGGTACTTTCAGAATGGCATCCCATGAGTTTGTACCACTTAACAACGAGAAACGACCTTTGGTCGAACCTGAGGTCCATACGGATCAAGATAGTGGCGACGACCAAACGGTCGAAGCCTATATGGCCCCAGACGGGTCATTCCTATCCAAGCGTCCCCGTCCCAAAGAAACAAGGGAATGGGACAGCGACAAAGGTGTCAGCCACCCAGCCAGCCGGCCGGCTGAACAAGCCCAGACGGCTGAGGGTGCTGACCCCGTTACCAGAGACGAACTCATGAAATTCATGAGTAGTTTCAAAGGGGAAATCAAGGACCTGATAAGAAAAAAGGCAGGCTTCCACAAGGGTCAGTCGGCCAAAAGGCCATCTCCCTCTAGGAAGAAGCCTTCTCCGTCTTGGAAGAAGCCTTCTCTCTCTGGGAAGAAGCCGGTTAAAGACCGGATTCCAACTTCATCCTAAACCACAGGGACCAGATTGGCCCATGGTGGATCTTTCAAAATTTCGCTTCCCCGAAGTGGGGAAGAGGAAGGCCATCCGGCAAATTCAGCCGGATGGGTCAAATAAGACATTCTCTGATGCTCGGATATTTCTCTAGCAAAAGAGAAGTCAACAAATGTCTAAGTCGGCCACCACGTCGACATTCTTAGATAGTCTCCATAATACCTCAATGGGGTCTTCGGAGACAAACCGAGAGAGTCAGTCAGGCGGTATGTCCGCATGAATTGGCCCTCAGATTATCAAGCCGGCTCCGTATGTGCCCCAACAGCCATACTTGCCGTATGGATCTCCTTACATGCAGCCGACCCTCTTTGGGGGTCAGGCGGCACATCAGGTCCAGCCTATGGACTGGCAGCTCCGACTGCTGAACATTGGGGAACAGCCTTCGGCTTTCTCGAGGCGGCTCAGCCGACAAAGGTTAAGAACGTGTTGGTTGGTGCCTATGACGGTACCACCAACCCGGAAGACCACCTTATGGCGTACACCAACCTCATGTATTTGCATGGGTTGGATGATGCCGCCTGGTGCAGATGCTTTCCGGCAACATTGAAGGGCATATCCCAACGATGGTTTAGCAACCTGCCAGCCGGTTGCATCAACAACTTCAAGACACTGGCATACCTATTCGTGTCTAACTTCTCTATGAACATCCCGGCCAAGAAGACAAGTCTCGATCTTGGGGTTATACAGCAGGGAGATAGAGAAGGGCTGAGATCCTATGTCAGGCGGTTCAATCTGATGAGAATTCAGATTCAGGGAGTGTTTGACAAAGTTGCCTACACAGACTTCTTCAAGGGTCTGAAATGAAAGGAATGGTGTCCTTCCAACAAGTGTATTATTCCGATAGAGGGTTCAGAATTATTACAGAGCTAATTCTTCAGTAAGGTCAAGTGATCGGAATGCCTAGGTGGAGGCCGCTTCCGATCAGTAATATCAAGGTACAATTGATATTACAGCTTAATCTTAACTGAACCCTTCGGGTCGAACCCAATCGAATCTCCGATCCGAGACGTCGAATTAATCCGAAAGGATTTTATGAGTCGACAAAGTTTTACGAATACAGACGTCGGAAATCGAGCCTAGGGCGTCGACACCGAGCGTCACAAAATCACAAGCAACAAGTATGAGCGTAGCCGTAGCTAGGCTAGGCTAGCTCATAGCATGCCTAGGTGCACCATGTGTGTGCTAGGCGCACCATGGTGTGCTAGGCACCATCGCAGCCAAGGCGCACCCTGGCAGCCCATCGCAAGCTAGCAGCATGCTAGCATGGGTGCCTAGGTGCGCATGGCAGCTATCGCAAGACACACAAGCACCAGGCAGCCCATAGCAGCTAGCAAGCATGCTAGCGTGGTGCCTGGGTGCATGTGGCGCCTATCGCAGGCAATGGCCACACCATGGCAAGCACTAGGTGCTGCATGCGTGCGTGCCTGGCTTGGCAGCACCATCGCAAGCACCAAGTGCTGGCATGGTTGGCTGCCTGGCAATGGCGCGCCATGTGCGTGTGCTTAAGTGCTAGCCTTCGCATGGCAGCACCAAGCATCGCAGCACATGCGAGAGGGTCAGTGCGGCCAACATGCGTGGCTCGCTAGCAGCACGCATGCTGGCTGTGCTAGCGATGCGATGCGAGAGGGAGATGCGTGGTGCGATAGGCAGTGCTAGGCTGCCAGCAGCAGCAGCAACGCCTAGCACTGGCTAGCACCAGCGCCTAGCATGGCCTAGCACCAGGCATGCGAGGCAGCTGGGCAGCACCATGCTAGCTGGCTGGGCTGGCCAGCGCCATGATAGCTGGCAGCAGCCCAGCATGCCCATTGTATGTGGCGGTTTGAGGGAGTGGGGACCAATTAGCTTAGAGCATGCCTTGGGGATCAAGGCAATGGTCCCCCCAAGGTTCATGGTCCTCACCTAACCTTCTCTCTCTATTTGACACTTGTTGCATTGTGATTAGTTTTGTTTAATAATTTATTTTAGAAATAAATTAATTAGCAAAATACATTCTCCCACATTGGTGGAGGATGAAAAAAAAAACAAGGGATCATTTCCCTATAAATACCAAGCTTGGTATTGGGATTTGAGACAACCTTGAGTGGAATTAAAAAGGCAACTCTAAGAAAAGAGTAAACCTTTGATTCGTAAAACTCATAGTTATTTTGTCCGGGTCTTGACTAACCTTCAAGACTTAGGACGCTTGGGTTGGGTCGAGGGTACGATCCGTCGGAGATCTCGTCTTTTCGGGATTTTGAAGTAAGAGCTCTTTGGGAGCGAAGCACGCGTCAAAGGTATAATTCTTTTCCTTAATCTTGTTTGATTAAGTTTATTATGCTTTTTTAATTGCCTTAATTAAGGGGCGGGTCTTGGTGGGTTTCCTTCCGCGTAGTGTCGGGTCACTACGAAACCCTACAGCGGTATCGGAGCCACGCTCCTTATAATTTTTGCAATTATTGTTTAATTAAGGTGTTTTAAAGAATTTATTTTTTCTGGTTCATGTTCATCTAATTAGATTAGATGCTTGTTTTATTAATTTTAAAACTCGAATTTATTATCGATTTGGCTGTCGAACCCAGATTTTGGCTCAAAAATAGTGATTTTTGGGTGGAATCGACATTCTGAAACTGTTTCAGCTCTTTTAGGGTTGTCCATAAGCCAAATTCGAACCAGAAACCCAATTTTTCTGGGGTTTTTTCGTTTTTCAACGAAAGTTTTAATTCTTTTTAAGCTTTGATTAATGCAAGCATTACAAGGTTAGATTAAATGCACATTTGCATCACTAATCTACTGGTTTTAAAATATCCTTGAGCATAATAATGGAGTGTTTATTAGGGCTTAAGTTGATATACCAATTTATCACATAAATTTGTTTTTCACAATTTTGCAAATAAATTGCAATAAGGTGTGAAAACTTGTTGTGATTTTGTATTTTAAGTTCCCAAGTAATGTTAAAGTTCTAATCTTTAAGTGTTTAAATGATTGGAACCCTAACCCTAAATTCCATGTTGAACAAAGTTTGGATTTTTTCATATTTTGGTTGATTAAAATCCATTAAGTTCAATTACTTGTGAGTAAAATTTGATTAATCTTCATATTGGAAGATGTAATCTTGGTATTTTACACAAGTATGCAAGTTGGAAATTTTTTTTTATCATTGGATGGTTAATTTATTTTTCCAACTCCCTTTTGTCAAATCCATTATTAATTTGCATATTGGCAAGATTAATTTTGGACATAGCTCATTTTATTTTAAGCATAATGTTTGACCTAATTTTGTTCAAAATTGAAATTTTGGATAAATTTAAGCTTGTGCACCAATTAAAATAAAATTTGTTTAAGTTAGACTTAGTGGTTGTTTTATTTTATTTTCCCTAAAATTAATTCTAAAATATAATTTGGAATTAGTTCATGTCACACGTAAATCGGGATTAAAATCCCGATTCATAGCACGCAAATCAAGGCAACACACCCAAGTGCCACCAAGGCTAGTCGGGCTGCCTAGCAGCCCACATGTGGCTGCCTATGGTGCGCACAAGGGCGAGGCTTGATGCTGCTATGCGCTGTGTGTGTGTGGCTGGGATGCATGGCAGGGGTGCGTGGGGTGGCTGGGCTGGCTTGCGAAGCATGCTGCTGGGCAGCAGGGCAGCAAGCATCAGCCAGCGCACCACGAGCATCATGATGCGCCTGCCCAGCAGGCCAGATGCTCGCAGGCACCAGCGTGCTAGCAGGCATGCGAAGCATGCCGGCAGGCAGCTGGGCTTGAGGCGCTGCTTGCTAGGCACAGCAGGCCTCAGCCACGCACCATGACGCCATGCCATGGGCTGCCTAGCAGCCATGGTGCGCACCCACCAAGGGCTTTGTTGGG